TAGTGGCTGTCCTCTAACTATCAATCATCTTTTTTTCTGGCACCATGAATAGATTTCTAAAACAAAAAAAAAATGAAACAGCTCATTCGTTTCTTGTTATATTATTTCGCCCCAGGTGATTTGCCGGTTGCCCAGAATTTAGACGAATCGCGTTTCATTTAAAACAGAATGCACAAGTTGAATACACAACAGAGTAAAGCCTAGTTTTATTAAACAGGAGGCAGATTGTGGGATTATTGAATTAGTGATTAGCTTCTCAAGGGAATCTTAAACATTGGTGGTTTTTCTGCTAACGGCTGATCTGTGCTTTACAGACTTCATCCCGGTTATATGAATCTGCATGTAAACACGCATATTACACAACAAATTCATATTTTTTTTTGCCAAACTTCGTATTGTATCAAATTAAAATCCAAAATGTAAAATTTAGGCAGAACTAACTGTAACTAAAGCTGTTGAAGATTTTTTTTCCAAATCAGCTATTTTGCCTAAATATTTGGATTCCATACAATATGGAGTTTAGTAACTAAACCGGATTTTTTTGTAAGACATGTAGTTGTTTTAACTCCTTCTGAGCAGCTACATAGTGCTTACCTTTGCCATATAAAAACTGCTGTTTAATCTTTTTACTGCCATCGGGGACAGCATGAATTGCAGAGGATGGAACACGACACCTTAAGCATACACGTGCTTTTATAAGTTTATATATGAGATATTCAATGACAAACACCACTTTTTCGCAGATATACATAACTATACTCATTGGTGGAACAGTATATTCCTCTGGCTATGTGACAAGTCTACAAAATAACTTTGTGTGAATGCATTTTTAAAATTCCTTTCAGTTACGATAGGCAAATGCTTTCTATACCTTGATAGAAACATAGAAACATAGAAAACATATAGAAACATAGAAACATAGAATGTGACGGCAGATAAGAACCATTCGGCCCATCTAGTCTGCCCAATTTTCTAAATACTTTCATTAGTCCCTAGCCTTATCTTATAGTTAGGATAGCCTTATGCCTATCCCACGCATGCTTAAACTCCTTTACTGTGTTAACCTCTACCACTTCAGCTGGAAGGCTATTCCATGCATCCACTACCCTCTCAGTAAAGTAATACTTCCTGATATTATTTTTAAACCTTTGTCCCTCTAATTTAAGACTATGTCCTCTTGTTGTGGTAGTTTTTCTTCTTTTAAATATAGTCTCCTCCTTTACTGTGTTGATTCCCTTTATATATTTAAATGTTTCTATCATATCCCCCCTGTCTCGTCTTTCCTCCAAGCTATACATGTTAAGATCCTTTAACCTTTCCTGGTAAGTTTTATCCCGCAATCCATGAACCAGTTTAGTAGCCCTTCTCTGAACCCTCTCTAAGGTATCAATATCCTTCTGAAGATACGGTCTCCAGTACTGTGTACAATACTCCAAGTGAGGTCTCACCAGTGTTCTGTACAATGGCATGAGCACTTCCCTCTTTCTACTGCTAATACCTCTCCCTATACAACCAAGCATTCTGCTAGCATTTCCTGCTGCTCTATTACATTGTCTGCCTACCTTTAAGTCATCAGAAATAATCACCCCTAAATCCCTTTCCTCATATGTTGAGGTTAGAACTCTATCAAATATTCTGTACTCTGCCCTTGGGTTTTTACGTCCAAGATGCATTATCTTGCACTTATCCACATTAAATGTCAGTTGCCACAATTCTGACCATTTTTCTAGTTTACCTAAATCATTTGTCATTTGGCTTATCCCTCCTGGAACATCAATCCTGTTACATATCTTAGTATCATCAGCAAAAAGACATACCTTAGATAGAACAGTGTAACGTATCCAGAGTAACAGGACAACACATACAATATATATTTTAGATAGTTACTTACCCAGACACCGTTTAAATAATCATTTGCAGTCTTTAGACATATTATTACCAGTCATTTAATATAATTATTTGGTAGTTTTATCTCCATGTACAGAGGTTTTAGACCTGGCTGGGTAGAATTTGAGATCAATGTGATGAAAAGCTTGGGAGTTTTTTTTAAAATGTATTAATTTTTTTTACTCCTTTTCTACTCACTACCTAGATCTAGCACAGGGTAGGCAACCTTTAGCACCCCATATGTTGTAGACTACATGACTGATGACCCATAATCCATGTCCCCACCGTTGCCCCTCAATAACACACCGGACACCTTCTTAGTGGATAAGGGCAACGGCCACAGCTTTATTAAATTTAAAACTTTTAATATTATCCAAATCTATCAGCTGTTGAGCGGTTGCCCAACAGACAGTTCCCCCAACCTTTTTCCATGAGCCTAAACAGCCGGCACTCTGCCATCAGCTCCCGTGCGGGCTGGCACTCCACCATTAGCTCCCGTGCGGGCTGTCATCTCCCCAAAGCAACTCTTAGTCTTAACCTTTTTCTTTGCGCTGTCCAGGATACCTCCACCGCGATGCCCTCCTTGCGCTCCCTACTCCGCGCCGGCATCGCGCTTCCCCGCCGACAGCGCAATTTCAATTCCTGATTGGAGTCCCACATTGAATATCTCCAATCCTACTGGTGACAAATGTACGCCACCCCCCCCACATGACATTAGTATTATCTCCTTCCAGCTCAAAGTGGCGTACTACCACACCCCCCATGCGTTGAATAAATCTAGAGACTGACATGTTGACCTTCCTCCTACACCTCTCTAAGCCTTTACCATGTGCACTCGTCCGCCATACTGGGCGAGGGATGATTTCTGACCAAACTCCCATCAAGACCGACCGCCGCTACGGCTCAATTGAAGACATTCTGAGTACATTTAACCCCCTCCAACATACCCGAACTCACAGGGAAAACTCAAGTTACGGCCATACACTCTGTCTTCCACGCGCCGGGCTGCCCAGTACACATAGGAGTGCCCGATTATCCATACAAAGCGCGGACCCCTACCTAGAATGAAAGAACAGAATTAACAACCCCACACCCGGGAACCACATACCTAATGAACTGAGAGGGAAGGGAAGGGAGGGAGAGAGAAGGGGAAATTGCTAAACACCATCATAACATATGTGGGCGCACATATAGCTGATACCGGTCCTACTTCCACCACTCCAGCGGTTTTAACGCCTCCGCGGGGAGACCCATCTGACTCGCCTGCGTCGCCGCACCTATACGGAAGGAATGTGACGAGTACTACCCAGGGTCCAATCCAACCTCCCTTGAATTCCTAGAGAACTGGAAACGACTCAGCGACGTACCATCCTTTGACCCCGAAACTGGAGGAACTCCCTCACTAGCCGTACTGGGCAATATACACCCCCCCATAACTCCGATATGATCCTGGGCTCCCTTGCCTGCCTGATCCTTCTTTGACCGTCGTATCCGGAGCACTATCCCCGACGCTGACAGCTCCAAATCCCTTAGCCATAACCACGATGGCTTTGAGGCCCTGGGTGCAAAAACAAGGTTCAGAGATGACGTCAGTGCTGAGAATGGTTCATACATAACATATATTACAATGACATTCACAAAACCTCTAGGCTTACGTATACGCTGACATGTATGAGAACAAACAAAAATAATATAGCAACAAAATATGTAAATAAGTAAAATGGAACAATCATACACCTAGTGAAGAACCAAGGCTTCTATCTGGCATTATAGCAATTTCAGGAATTTTCAGGAAAGAGAGAGACGTGATGAACGTGGATTTCAGTTTCCCCAAGTAAGCTCGTTTGTAGTGGTTTACCCTTCAAGAAAATCAGCCAGGGTTGCCATACACTTAAATATGAGGTATATTTACACACTGATGCCCAGCACAGCTCCCCAAATGCTCTGTGCTGTTTAATTTTAAGATGCCAAAAGATGGATTTTGGGGGATTATTTGTTGTTATACATGTGTTTTATGCAAAAATAAAGAGAGATTCATGTTTTTTTTCTTTGACAACTATAAGATGTTTTTAGTCACAAGCCAGAATAATTAATTGATTGGGTAAGAAAAATGTGCACTTAATATTCTCCAGGATATTCTGGAAGCAGTGGTGTATTTTGGTTTTGTGCTGCCCTAGGCATGACAAAATTCAGGCATCCCACCCCCGCTTCCAAATTTCTCTTCCTAACCGACACACCCCCTCCCTGATTCATGCACCGACATACACTCACTGACAGATACACAGTCATTGTCACACACACTGTTTAACCAACACACTTTCACTAAAACATTTACATTCACAGTTACACACACTCACATTCACCAACAGACACATAAACACACTAACTGACAGACACACAATCACCGACAAGACACACATGCACACTCACTGACAGATGCACACTCACTAATAGAAATGCATACACACTCACTGACAGAGACCCACACAGACTGAGACACATATATACTTACTGACAGATACACACTGTCAAACACACATACACACTCACTAACAGACACACACTAAGACTCTCACTAACAGGCATACCAACTTACTAACAGACACAGGCTAACACTCACTAACAGACACACGCTAACACTCTCACTAACGGACACACACTAACACTCTCACTAACAGACATACACTAACAATTTCACTAACACACACACACACTAACTCTCACTGACAGAACGTCTTGCATACGCTTACGTGCTCCAGGGGGTGTCGCCCCCTCCAGGGCTTTACGTAAGTGGGTTATTCTAGCTCTATTGTGGATAGTAGGGGGAGTGAGGGGGAGAAATCGGAGCCAGTGCTAGTGTTAACATCTCTAGCGTATGAACGCAAGATGTGCGCGCCTATTCGCCTAAGCGCATGCTGTAGTCTTATAATGTGAAACTTTAAGTGGGGATATATATATCGACCCACTCTGACATTTCTAGATATTTAAGTTATGCAAGATTAATAATTAAAAGTGAAGTAACAACCATTAAGCAAAATAACATTTATAATTTGGTGAGCATAATCACGAGTTGTGGTGGCAGAGTTTGTGGCATCCTGAAGGATGTGTAAGTGTCAGTTCAGTATAAGTCCCTCAGGCTATATCACCCGCTGGCAGAGTGCGTTGAGACGATCTGGGTATAACCTCTGTTACTGTAGAGGGGTCTAGTGTGGCAGTGGTCTCCGTTCATGAAGCCTAGTTTCTGTGGGCTCCTCCCTGGTAGGTAGTCCTTTGGAAGGTAAAGGTGATGAGATGTGGCACCCTCCAACAATAGGGGATACTTTTGGATCGCATGTGTTGTAGGCTCGGTTGAAGCGATTTTTGCCAGTTGAGTCTACTCCTCGTTAAATCAGGGAACAGCGAGATGTTAGAGTTCTTGAATGACAGAGGGGTTCTCCCTCGGGCCGCTGCTAACAGTGTGGCCTTGTCTTGAAGGGATTAAAACCTCACAATAAGATCTGCTGTAGCGATTGGGGGTGCTTTTGCCGCTCCCTAAGTATTTTGGGGGCAACCCAGCTCCGTGCAGAGGATTTTTAAACCAGGCTGAAGGATACCTTGAAATGGTTCCCCAGGCATTTCCTACTGACAGAAGCAAAGTTGGGTTCATGATTTCTTTGCTGTCTGATAAAGCCCTAGCTTAGGCAAATCCTCTCTGAGAGGCAGAGAGACCCATTATTTACAACTACCCTGAATTTGTGGCGTCCTTTAAAAAGATATTTGATATTCTAGCTCGCTCCACCTCTGCTGCCAAACAACCCATGTCTAATACATAGGGCACGAGAACAATTGTGAATTCCTTACCCTGGCAGCAGAGGGTGGCTGGAACAACGAGACTCTCGTGGCTGCCTTTTCACATGGGCTCTCCGATGCTATTAAGGATGAGATTGCAGCCAGAGAATTACCTAAAGATCTCAAGGAACTGATATCCTATGTCAGAGAAACTTTCTGCTGTACTACAATGGCATCGACCTACGGGTCTTCGCTCTATACAGCATTTTCTTGGCTTAATCAATTATTATTGGAAGTTCATACACAACTTTTCTTCCTTGGTTAAACCTCTCACGGATATGACCAGGAGAGATGGCCTTTGCTGCAGCTCCAATACTAGCACACCCTAACCCTGCCTTACCATTCATTCTTGAAGTCGATGCATCTGAGACAGGAGTAGGCGCCTTCCTGTCTTAACTTCCTAACCCAGAGAGCTCCATGCATCCGTTCGGGTATTTCTCGAAGAAATTGAACCCAGCGGAATGCAATTACCAGATTGGGAATAGAGAACTCCTAGCTATAATTTTAGCTCTCAAAGAATGGAGGCACCTTTTTGAGGGAACTTCAGTGCCAATTTTCATTCTCACGGACCACAAGAATCTTACTTACCTTTCCGAATCTAAACGACTTTCCCCTCGGCAAGCTAGATAGGATCTCTTCCTATGAAGATTCAATTATGTGGTTTTCTATTTGCCCAGTACTAAGAACATTTGGGCTGATGCCCTGTCTCGACAGTTCTCTGATGCATCTAGGGAGGAGATAACTTCTAACCCCGTGATTCCTCCGGACCGAATACTAACCACTATCTGTACTAATTTAACTTCACCCCTAGGTGAGGAAATTCTGGCTGCACAAGTTAATTTTCCTCCAGAGAAATCTAGTGGTCATTGTTTTGTACCTGTTCATCTCCGCACCAAATTCTTAGGTACATATCACAACTCCAAGGCAGCTGGACATCCAGGCAAAAAACAGTTAATCTAGTCTGTCTTTCGACAATTATGGTGGCCTAATCTCCGTTCAGATGTCACCGCTTTTGTAGCTGCCTGTCCTGTGTGCGCTCAAAGTAAAACCCCACGACACCCTCCAGTGGGTCTTTTGCAAACTATACCTAATGGTGAATGACCCTGGACTAACTTGTCCATGGATTTTATTGTGGATCTTCCAGTCTCCCGTGGCAATACGGTATTTCTCATAGTTGTTGACCGATTCTCTAATATGTCACATTGCATTCCCCTGAAAAAATTCCCAACTTCTCAAGAGCTTGCCTCGATTTTTTCTCTGGAGGTCTTTTGTTTACATGGGTTACCCAAAGTGATCATCTCGGATAGGGGTAGCCAGATTGTGTCCAGATTTTGGAGAGCCTCTTGTTCACAATGGGAATTCAGCTTTCCTTCTCCTCGGCCCACCACCCGCAATCCAATGGTGCCGTGGAGCGTGCTAACCAAGCCTTGGAACAGTTTCTGTGTTGCTATATTTCGGACCACCAGAACAACTGGTCTGATCTGCTACCCTGGGCGGAGTTCGCCCACAATAGTGCCATTAATGCTTCTTCCCGGCTATCCCAGTTCTTGGCGAACTATGGGTTTCAACCGTCCATATGTTATTGCCACAAGGGATACCAGCATTGGAGGAACATCTCCGGGAACTCCGTTCCACTAGGGTGCAGGCTCAGAACTCCTTGCGACGCTCAATGCAGAAGTACAAACTCCAGCCCGACCGTAAACGCCTACCTGCCCCTACCTGTCAGGTCGGAGAGAGGGGGTGGCTGTCTTCCTGCAACCTACGGCTCCGTGTTTCCTCACAAAAACTGGCACCCCACTACGTTGGGCCATTTCGTATACTTAAAAGGGTTAACCCTGTAGCTTATGCACTTGACCTTCCTGCTAGCATGCGCATCTCGAATGTATTCCATGTTTCCCTCTTGAAACCCTTGGTGTGTAATCACTACACCACCTCGGTGCCACGTCCACGTCCTGTTCTGGTTGATAATCATGAGGAATATGAAATACGCAGCATCATTGATTCACGAGAGGACAGATCCAATACTTGGTGCACTAGAAAGGGTATGGTCCAGAGGAAAGCTCCTGGGTTCCAGCCTCTGATGCCCATGCCCCATTCCTACTTCGTTCCTTTCATGCCCACTTTCCCATCAGGCTTGGATCCACCAGCAGATATGGGGTGAGAGGGGGGTACTGTCAGGGTTTCTTTGCTGTTTTAAACAGCAACCCTTCCTTTCTCTGTGTCTGAGCTTTCAGCTGATTTTAACGATCATCTGCTTCATTAATGTTACCACGGTTACTCACCTGGTTGTTAGTAGCCAGCCCTTATGCTAATCAGTGCAGCCTATTTAAGCAGCAAGTCCCAGTACCACCTTGCCCTTGCGTGGCTTCCTGTTTCCCAGAAGACTTCCTGTTTCCTGTGTCTTCCTGGTTCCTGGTTCCAGACTTCTGGCCTTGTTCTTGACTCTGCTGCTCTCCGTTCTCCTGATTCTGACTCGTCCGACTTCCCGCTGTGGTTTCCGCCGGTAAATCAGGTATTTTTCTTGCGTTGGCATAGAGCTTTCCAAGATGCGTCTGTTCTGGTCTGCAGCTAGCTCCGCCCCCCATTAACCATGCATTTTTTATCACATTTGTTTGAGTAAATAATGAGCAAAAGTTGAGATGGGGATCCAGAACTAAATTACATTTCTGGGGAAAAAATGGGTTGGTCTAGCTAAAGGTTTTCGGATACGTACAAGGCG